CATTGCCTCCCTCAGAAACCTTATTCTTAACCCTCCACATTCCAACACCCGAGTTGTGGACGAAGAGATTGAAGAAGAGGATGATAGTGAAGAAGAAGAAGAAGATGATGTGGATATGCCTGATGAGGATCTTTAGAGAATATGTTGTTGTTGATGTCTTTTATTGCATTGTTTTCTAGTTTTTGATGTTTTATGCTTTCATTTATGTTTGAACTCTGTTTTTATTTGGCATTGTAACTCGTACAATATTCGCAGTATTGCTGTCTTTTAATTTCAGTATGCTTTGCTTCCATATTCTTGTGATTGCTTGCATTATTGGTCTATCTAGTTTTCTTTCTTGAAAACTCCTTCCTTTTTGCTTATGACAAAGGGGGAGAAGAGCTTTGGCTTTCTTATGTCTATGTGTGCAGAATTTTTGCCTATGTATTCGATAGGGGGAGTTCATGGACATAGGGGGAGAAAACAAGATCACTGCTAATCATCGTCAAAAATTGCACAAGATCATTTTGGTTGTCATCATCAAAAAGGGGAAGACTGTAGAAGCAAGCTTCATCTCAAAGTTTTGATGACGTCAACATCAAGATCAAGAATAATTCATCTGTGCAAAAAGACAAACGCTTTCAAAAGACCAAGATCAAGTGGAATGGAAGTGATCAACATTCAAAGCTTCATGAACATTTGACTGATCAACTTTCAAGTTTTGGACACAAGCTATGGTATATCAAAATCCATTAATTTAATTGATATACAAGTGTTCAACATCTTTATCATTTGATCACATTGCATTATCATACTTTTTAAACTATTAGAATTGGTATAACACTATTTTTATAAGCATTTTTCTGAAAAATAGCAGTGTTAACCGATTAACCATATAGGTTAACCGGTTATCCATTTCAAATTTTGAATATTTTGGTATAACGTTCAAGTGTTAACCGATTAACCATATAGGTTAACCGATTAACACTGAACGTATTTTGAAAAATGGCTTTGTTTCAAGTTCAAAAATGGTTTGAAAATTATACCAGTTCATATTTTGAATTATACTCAAATATACCTGTTGGAAAAGGTGTGTTTACACATATAAATTCTGAGTTTTTCAAATTGAAAAACAATCCTCCAATAATCAATTTCAAAACAATTCTTTGAATCAAATTCACCACTTTCAAATACTTTTCAAATTTTTCAAAAGTGTTCATATTGATCATATCTTTCATATGCATAGCATTGAACACTTGTGTTGAAATTAAATGAGTGAATTTTGATCAGAAGGAGAAGATCAATCTCAGCATTAACATTACCATTATTACTCTTAAATCAAAGTATTCAGATTACTTGTTTTTGACTTGTGATCCAGGTTTGTTGGACACAAGGGTGAGTGCTTACAAGAGGATTGTTCTTGTACACTTGTTAATTTTTATTGTTTGATAGTAGGCCTCATCAGTTGATGGTGTGATAGGTTGTACTTTATTAAACAATAGTGAAAACTCTCTTTCGTGTTGAAAGGGGAGTGGAGTACTCTCGGATTGTGAGGGGAACCACTATAAATCTTGGTGTCCACTGTCCTTTTACTTTCTACTGCATTAATCACCAAGAACCTAACCAGTAAAATTTCAAGAATACCGAAAAATCGGAAAAAGTCCCTAAAAGCCTAATTCACCCCCCCCCCCCTCCCCCCTCTTAGGCATACTCTGTACTTACACCACGAACTCCCTATCAGAAGTTAGCAATAATAGACCCAATCTCATTGCAAGTGGATTCAAGCAACTTATAGCAACTCATGATGTATGTGGAAATTGCCTGTGCAACAGCTTTTATGAGAACCTCTTTTCCAACGCGCGAAAGAAACCTCTCTAAAGCTTATCACAATATTTAATAGAAAGGAGAACCACTCTAAAGTTTTGCATTAGGTTAGGCGACAACCATTCATTCATGTTTTTCTCAATAGATTAAAAGTATATTTTTATTGTGAAACCAAATTGCATTTCTTCAATTGAACAACTTCCATACAAAGAAATTGTCATAAAGATTTAAAAGTATGTGAAAACTCTTTATCTTAGTCCTCCCATTTCTATTAGATCATCTTAGGTGAGGATAATATCATCTATGCAAACAATCAAGAAAACAAATTTTACATCAGGGCAAAAAATTTAAATAAGGAAAGTGATTTGTGGTTCAAAACATGACTATGAGAAATAGAAAATCACTTATCTTTCCTTTTTTTAATAGGTTGATTATCGTCTGGTTCATACTCGTGACACTTTGTTTATGGTTTCTTAGTCACAAAAACATGTCCTTTCCAAACTCACATCATACTTTAAACTTCTTTTCTTTACATGACTCGATATTTTGTGGAATTTCATTTAGTTTGTCATTATTATCATCTTCAAAATTCTCATTGTTTTCTTCAAAAAACAAGCAGATGTATGTTCATATAATGAACTGTGACTATTTTTTTAATTGATTTAGAAGTACAAGTCTTAGAGATTTGTGATATATAAAAATCTTATGTCAACAAAAAAAAATTTAAGAATATAACATTTTAACAAAAAAAAAATTAATAACATTCCTAGTGAAATTTTTTTTATCAGAACATTTATACCTTTTCTGAATTAGAAAGTATCCAAAAAAAACATCAAGTGATTTAATTTTGTCAAATATTATTATGTCCACGAATAAAATTTGTGCAACTAAATATTTTTAAAAGTTAAATAAATTGAAACACATAACGTGAAAATATTTTTTGAAAAAATGTTAGTCTCAATATAGAATGTAAGATGGTGTAAAAGAGAGTTGAATAGACTTTTCTCTAATTAAAAAATTATTTTCAAAACATCAGAATTAAAAGCGCATGTACTAATGTTTTAAATGAGTTTTTGAAAGAAAACGCAATCAAATAAATGTACAAGAGAAAATCAATGATAACAAAATGATGATCAGTTAACTAATTAACAATATAAAAAATTAATCCAATTAGATTCAAACATAGATGTTTGAATAAAAATTGAGTAATTGATTCAGCAATCTGATATTATAATTTTCTAGAATAATCACCGAAAAGAATTATTTAACAAATTAGATATAATACATGATTAAGCTTAGAAAGCAGATAAAACCTAAGAGCATGCAAATTCAATAAAGAAACTAAATTAGAATGGAGCAGAAAAATTGTGCATTGAGATTTATACTAATTTGGTGTTTTGTACTTACTTGCACTTAATCCATTCTATGAAGATAAATCATCAAAAATTGTTGAGTCTTCGACTATTGAAAATGTTACCCTATCCTTTTGTATAGATGGTAAACACCAATAAACAAAAATACTTAGAACTAACAACTAAGCTAAACAAATTTAAATCTCGATTCTTCTTCTCTGTAGGTAATTCACTAGGCTACAAAAACCTCCAAGATCCACGATCTTAAATCAATCCATTTTTACAAAACCAAAGCACTTCAAGATCTCGTACGCAACAATTTTAAATCGATTATACTAGGATTGTCTTTTTCGAGTCTCTAAACTGTTGATAGGTGTTAGAAACTTAAGACATCTTGGAGAAAAACTTCTTCTTTTTCATCACTAGATGTCAATCTCCATAAATTCACAACTTGATTCTTCTATATGAGAAAAGCTTCTCAAATTATTTGGACCTCTAATGAATTTTTTCACAACAAGCACTCTCTCGTAAAGGTTAACAACACTCATCAATGGTGTTTTGATTTGAGGTATAGAAGATGAAATATTTCAAAAAAATTTCACGCAACAACTTTGCTAACTCAAAAACTCAACACTCAACAAAGTTTTTCTTCAAAGTTTATCAGAGAGAATATTTGTGTGAATGATGAACACCTAAAGTTTATCAAAGATTTTCAAATATTATGAGAGGATTATGAAAAATAAAGAGAAAAAAATATTTTGTATGGATGAGAGATAAGACACCAAATGGTGTAAAATGAATATTTTGATTCAAGTGCATAAAAAATTTTATTCAAGTCGAGATGATAATATTCTAATCAAGTAACAAAAATTGGGAAAAATTAAGTTGAGTTTGAATCTATGATTTGAATTATGTGATTCAGATCAAGCAAAGTTTGATTCAAATCATGTTGAATTTGATTTGAAAAAAAAAGTGTTGATGATTTAAATTAGATGAGACCAAGATTTAAATCATGTTTTTCGAATTCAACAATAAAAAAAATTGAAGATTATAATTCGAATCAAAATTTTTATGATTCAAATCATGCTTAGTGAAATTACTTGATTTGGGTTATATATATTCTTGGTTTGAAATAATTTCGTTAATGCACGAAAAATGATTTTAACCTATGAAAGAGTATGGGACAATTGCGAGGGGTTCAAATAAAATCTTTTTTTTTATTTTTGAAAAAGTTCTTAAAAGAGTTCGAACGATTCAGATTACACAATAATAAAATCAATTTTAAATAACCTTTGTTGTTAATTTAAAATTGGTTGTTTGATATTTAAAACTGTGACAGAGACAGTGAACAAAATTCAAACCCTCTTAAATTGTTCATTGAATAAATGATCATACTCCCAAAAGACAAACATAATACAAACAACTACTATATGGTGGGTGTGTATTCATCAAATCTAATCAGCATCCCTTCATTGAATACATAATCACATTCAATGAAATTGAGCTAAATAATAAAAGGGATAAGAATTATGCATCCAATCAAAGAAGAATGTCACCAACCAAATTTCAGTAAACATTATTTAATTAATTACTAAAACTAAAACTAATTATTCATAACTGTGATTAGCAGTCATGCGAAAAACTTATTCCTGAGATAATTTACAATGGAAAAATTGATAAACTAATAGTAAAAAGCTTTGATTAAGTTCACCGATATGCATTTGCAAACTCAAGTTATTAAGCAATTTGGTAACCTACTCAACTGGTGTCATTTTGCATGATAAATAAAATTATAAATGGAAAAAAAATCAGGCAAAATGCAGAACCATCCAAGTTTGATCTGGTCTATTTGGAATATAACTTTGAGAGCTCTTCTTGAAAAGTCTTTCTAATGATATCTCTCTTGATCTTAAGGGCTCCAGTGACTAACCCGGTTTCAGGAGTCCATGGATCAGAAAGCAATTTAACTTTTGCAGGAATCTCGAATTTTTCCAGACGAGCCTTCTTTGCTTCCTGCAAATATTTTCTGTTGTTTAAGACAAATATACCTTCTAATAACAAAGTTCTAAACAGACTTCAATATAAAAAGCATACCTTTAGAAGTGATGCATGCACCTCCTTCACTGCTTCTTCTTTCTGACACAGTTCTGAAATATCAGAATAAGAAATCCCTTGCTTTGAAGCCCATTCACGCAATGCAGAATGAGAAACAGCCACAAGTGCCACACAGTAAGTTTGAAAAGAATCAGCATACAACATAATGTTGTCCACAAAGGGGCTAACAAGAAGAGCTGCCTCAACCTGTGTTTAACTTGATTAGTCTTTCAGGTATTGAGAATGGGAAATACCACAAATTAACGTTCATACCTTTCCCAAGGACACATATTCTCCATGTTGCAATTTAACTATGTCCTTTTTCCTATCAATGATCTCAAGGACCCCGTCTTCATGAAATCTCCCTACGTCACCGGTGTAGAACCACCTTACTCCTCGTTCATCAACCTTTCATTTTTATCATCATATAAAGTTATAAACAGCATTTATCAGATTCATATTATGTAAGTATCCTCTTTCTATCCTAATTTTCTTGATTATGTATATTTATTTCCTAACTCTATTTTGATTTGTGATGAGTAAATTAGGAAAGACAATTTCTAGTATATATATTTGTTAAATGTTACACTTATGAAAGACATTCTTTGTGTTACTAACATATCAGTACCTTAGTTTTTCTAAAGGTTATCCGGTGCTCGTACCTGGTATCAGTACCGTAACCGTATTCGTGCAACATAGGTATTTATAACCGAATACATTATACTCATCCAGAGAACTTGTGTAAGAAGACCTTAATATTTCTCATAATGACAAAAAAAACAAAAATATTGAAATGATTGGCAGGTATAAATATTGATGCGGTGATTAGAGCATAGGGGTGAGACTAAGAACCAAAAAAGTGGATGGAACATATAAGTGAGTCAAAATTAGTCTTTGATATCAAATTTTGGATGCATGAAAATAACTTATGACATTTCTATAAGTTACTCTCACCTTATTTCAATTAGCTCCCTAGGACAGCTTAAAAAAAAGCTTCCAACTTATTATATTGAAACAAAATTAACCGCGTCACTTCTTTGATTTTAGAACTAGCTTGTACATAAAGAACTTAGCTTGTTAAACTAAATTCACCCTTGATATAAAGCAATCTAAGGGTACTTACTTCTCTTAACAAGACATAAAGCAATCTAAGGAACATATAGCTATATACCTTGTAAGATTCTCTTGTCTTTTCTTCATTTTTGAAATATCCAAGAGTGATATTTGCACCACCAATTACTATTTCACCACGAGGCATTGGTAAGTCAGTAGTTGAGTATCCACCTTCAGGCCAGTTAATTAGCTGAGAAAAGAGTACAAAATCATTGCATGAGAAATCTCTTTTTTAAATGCAGATAAGGAAAGTAACCACCATTATAAAATATCATAGTAGAGTTTATGATCTTGAGGTCTTTATTATATTGCACTATTATATACAGAAACAAGACAGCAAGCATTGTTTGCATTGTTTAACAAGCATAACCCTGAAGGATTAAGAGGAAGAGGATAGGTGCCTAGTCATTTCTATCATTTCAAAGAAATACTATCAACACTTTTTAAACACATATTTCACATGTGTTTATGATTACTCCAACAAACACATTTGCCTCATAAATTGATCACTCTTTATGTAGTGCTTTCTTCATAAATTGAACAATTGTGTGTTGTAAAATCTTAAGATTTTAAGATCTAGATATCTTTATGCAAAATCTCAATTTTGATAACCTTGCTCATTTGGAGGATAGCTTATTCTTCACTCTACTACTTATTTCTATATATGGAGAGAATTGTAGCCAAGTGACAGTTAAAAATGATCTAAAAGCTGTTAGAAATGACAATCAATTTTGGATTTGCATGAGAATGTAAAAAAACGAAATTATAATAAATAAATTCAGGAATCAGGAGTAGACATTTGTTAATGATACTAGTAGCTATTCCAAAAGCCTAAATAAAAGAGAGCACTGCATTTTTGTAATTAATCAGGGTAAGTTCATGGAATATTTTTAGTAGGAAATGTATGTTAATTGTGCCTATAAGTGCAATGATATAAACTGCAAGGAACAACTGCTCCATATCTACTGAAGGACTGTGATTCCATTAAACAGCAAAAAGTAGATAAAATAAGTAGCACTTGTGTTTGAAAAATAATACTTGAATTTAAAATGTCTGAGGTGAAATAGATTAATTACTACCTTGATATATGAGCAAGGAATAGGTGGTCCAACACGGCCAGCAGATGTATCGTCAAAATCAGAGAATGTCCCACCAGCGCAAGTCTCCGTGAGACCATATCCTTGACTTATTGGAGCACTGAAAATGAGAAATAGATATAAATGTGAAGGAAAAATTAATACAAGGCATCTGAAAGTAAAATAGAAAAACAAGCACATGAGATAAGCAAACCCATAGAACTGAATTTACCAGCATGTTTCTACTCCTACTCTTCCCTGATGATGATATTTTTTTCTTTATTATTTTACTATAATTTGCTTCTAGCTTCTAAAATGAATATTAAGTAAAAGATAAAGGACCAAAAAACATATTTTATCTTAAAAAGAGGATTTGCATTACTTACCCAAGACAAATATTGATGAATCTTTGTGTGTCGGCAGAAAGAGGTGCACCACCACATAGTATAAAACGAATATGACCACCCAGAATTGCTTGGACTTTTTTGAACACAAAAAAATTCCATAGAACTTTTTCCAAGCCCCAAGCACCAAACCAGCTACCATTAATTGCCCGCAACCTTCGTGCATAGGCTAAATCAAACAACTTCTTTGATAATCCTCCCTTTGCATTTACCTATCCGACCAAAGAAGTTTCATTCAACAAACTCATTCACGCTTGCGCATTGATGCACAATATGTAGGTACACGTTTTTTAAATGTATCGGGAAAAAAATCAAATACCTTCTTGAAAACTCCATCACGTACACGATCAAGAATTGCTGGTACAGATGCCATCAGAGTTGGCATTAATGCAGTGGCATCCCCCTTTGTCCCCTTCTTTACCTTGTTCGATGTATCGGTTAGAGTCAAAGGAGTTCCGTATCCTATAGAGCCTCCAACAGCTGGAAGTAAATTCTAAAACAAGTAGTTGAATTTGTCAAAATCGTGTAAGATAAGAAATAGAGGAAAATAAAATGCAAACAAATTTGTGTTACTGGATACACATACCTCAGCTACTAATTCAAGGATATGAGCCATTGGTAAGTATGCTAGATATACGTCATTTTTCCCAATGTTAGGAATAATTGTCATTACAGCCGACACGGTTGCTACAATATTTCCATGTGTCATCATCACACCCTGTGCCAAAGAAAAGAGATTCAAGAAACCGTCTAGACTCTAGGCTAATGTTTTTGAAAGTCAATCCTGTGAAAGGATAGAAAGAAAAGTTTCTTCTATAATAACTGCACCACTCAAAGATGCTTCTAACCTTAGGCAACCCTGTACTTCCACTTGTGTACATTATAACTGCAACATCAGCTGAAACGGGTAAATCAGCCTCAACAGGGTCTTCTCTACCAAGCCTCTCAACATCAGAAAAGGAAATGAGTTTCCATCCATGCTGAGCAGATGAGGCGTCAGATGGGACATCATCGTCAAGGCATATCACACGCTTCACAAAGTCAAGCTGTCCGGAAATATGCACAAGTGATTTCAATTCTTTGCGCCCACAAATCACAGTTGTAACCTCTGTCTGCCATAGATTTCACAAGTGAGATTATAGAAAATATAAGAATAATAACAACAACAGGAGAGGAACTAAATTACTAAATGATGGTAAAAAATATGCACAAGTGATTTGAATTCTTTTCAATGTTTTGAATTGCTAGTTTCTTCTCCCTTTTGTGTCAAAAACTTTCACAAAACAGTTCTCTATTAGTGAAGAATGATATAGACAGAGATCAAACCTCATTCAATGAGTGGCACAAAGCCTCCTCTCCCAACGAAGCATACATTGTCACAACCGTCACATTTCTCCTGAAACAAGCCTGAAGAAACAAAAAATTACACACAACAACAACAAAGAAAAAGAATAAATAAAATCATTCTCTTCCATCCATGTTAAAAAAAAGTTTTAAAAAATGAACAAAAACGAGAAACATGCTTATTTGAAGCGTAAAAGTAAACACCTGCAATGCAATAAACCACTCTTCTCTAGTCTCCGCATAAATCGCAACACGTTCAACCCTAACATGGCCAATATGCCACAACCCAGAAGAAAAATTAGAAACAGATTTAAAAACAGCTCCATACGTAACCCATTTATACTCCCCATAATGAAGCTTCTCAAACGTTCTTCCATCGGAAGAAATCTCCATTTCTCTCGAAACCAATTCACGCGTCCCGAGCAACAGTTTATCATGATGGGCCATGCATGAATGCTCAAACATCTCCGCGAGAGTGGTAACGTTTTCCCAGGCAGAACTCAGCACCGAAGCGAAGCGGTGGTTGCGGAGTGTGTAGCCGGGATCGCCTCCGACATAGACAGGTGAGCCACGGCGTTTGCGGTTGGTGGAGTTTCGGAAGAGGAGTATGACGAGGGGAACAATGAGACCGACAACGTAGGCGTTCATCGTTGATCGGAATGATTTTCCGGCGCAATGTACGTAACGTTTTTTGTAGTAAGAATAAGAGAGGAAGGTGATTGGGTTTTGTTAGAATGTAGAAAGACGAGGAGTGTTGTGTGTTGTGTTGGCCTATCACTGTGGAGCGGAAAGACCAAGAGAGTCACTTGTGGAATTTCAGAACTTCAAAGTAACTGAACCATAAATTAAGTCATACATACACTTGGTTTGCGCTAACCAAAGAAAAATTGATTTTAAGAGAATTAATATAAATTGATTTATGATTGAGTTATTCCCCATGAATATGATATTTTAAAATATGAAATTACATTGATAAAATTTTATCTTTAATAAAATTAATTGTAGAGGCAAAAATTTTGCTCAAAGAAACTAAATATGACCTACAATTGTTTTAAATTGTAAGTGAAAATTGATGTTTGTATTTCAATGTTTTCTATTTAAATTGTGTTTTTACCGGTAGTTGTGTTGAGGTTGAATTTCTGTTTAGAAGTGTAGTTAAAGTTGTGTTGATGATGGGAAGTTACAAGCTCAATTGTAGGGAATTTGATTAGGAATACTTTGAGAACAAGTTTGTAAGTTAGTTAGTTTTGTGTATAAATGCTCTATGATTGCAACATGGAATTGTCGAACCTTGTAAAATTTTCAATCTACATACATCCACCCATCAATCTCTTTCTCATTTACCTACAAATCTCATTGATGCATTAAATGAACATAATCAGAAAATGGACATGACAGACGAGTATGATGCTCTTATTGAAAATATGTGTGGGAATTAGTTCCTCGTCCCTCTAATGCTAATGTTATTCGAAGTTTATGGAATTTCAGGCACAAGAAGAAATCTGATGGTTCTTTTGAGGCGTCAGTTGTGGTGAAACTTTCATCCCTTCCATCAAACTGGCCATTATTCACATGGTACTTGGCATTGTATCATCCAAGTCATGGTGTCTCCGTCAACTAGATGTCAAGTATGCCTTTTGCATAAAAATCTTGACAAAATCGTGTATATGCATCAGTCACCTAGATTCAGTGATCCACAATATCATAACCATGTATGTCTCCTCAATAAGTCTCTATCTGGTCTCAAATAAGCACCTCATGCTTGGTTTTTAAGATTCACTGGCTTTGTTGCCACATTAGGTTTCTCTCACATCATCTCTAATCACTCTTTATTCATTTATCATAACTGTATGGATACTACTTATGTTCTTTTATATGTGGATGTCATAATTCTAACTACTTTCTCTGATGCTCTTCGTGACTTTATTACGTCTAAACTTAGATATGAATTTGCCATTAATGATTTGGGTTCTCTGAGTTATTTTCTGAGAATATTTGTCACTAACATAAATGTGGTTATTTCTTGTCTCAAAGGAAATATGCATAGAAAATTATAGAACGAGTAGGCATGCTCTCTTGCAAGCCATCATCCACCCTAGTCGATACAAAGGACAAACCTCAGTGGGTACTTTGGGAATCCATATCATGAACTTACTGAGTATCAGTTTTTTAGGAGAATTGCAATATTTAACTTTCACAAGAGCATATATCTCTTATGTAGTACAACAGATATTCCTATTCATGCATGACTCTAAAATGCAACATATGTTAACACTAAAGCGTATAATTTGGTATATTTGCGACACGGTTGATTTTGGGTTTCACTTGTATCTCTCATCTGTCAGCAAATTGGTTTCTTACACTGATGCAGATTAGGCTGGTTGCCCAGACACCAGGCGATCCACCTCTAATTATTGTGTCTATCTTGGTGACAATTTAATCTCATGATCTGAAAAACGCCAACACACCATGTCTCAGTCCATTGCAAAAGCCTCGTATCGCGGAGTCACTAATGTAGTATTTGAATCTTGTTGGATTAGACACTTATTATTGGAACTACATTTCCCAGTCACAACATCCATTTTGGTCTATTGTGACAATGTGAGTGTTGTCTATCTATTCAAGAATCCAGTTCAACATTAGTGCATCAAACACATCAAGATGGATATACATTTTGTGCGTGAAAATTTTGTCTGCGACCAAGTATGAGTCTTACATGCCCTTCATGTTATCAAATTGCTGACATCTTCACCAAAGGACGTATATATAAGAAAGGCATGACTTATGATTCTTACAATTCTAGTTCCCCAATTTATGTTCTTATTTAGTTTTTATCTAGTTTTGTGCTACTGAGGTATTCTTCTTTTGATTGTGTATTTGAGGTAAGGAAAGACATGTATGATGGAGCTTGCTTTTTAACTTTCTCTGTTAGCACAACTTGAAGCTTTATCAAAGCAAAGTGTTGCCTCAACCCTAGTTCCAACAAATGTAAATCTATTCAAGGCATTACGATGTGATTTTTGTGGTGAAGGTCACATCAATGGCCATTGTGTATTGGAGGGATACGTTGAAGAGGCGCATTATGTAGGAAATTATTAAGAACCAGATCCTTACTTTAATACTTATAACCCATGATGGGACGATCTACCACCAAGAGGTACATCTATTCTATAAAAGACTATGAACAAATTCATGAAGATGACTCAAAGCAACTTAGAAGCAATGAACTCACGCATTGAAGCATCTGGCAGGAATATTGAAGCATCTAATAAGAACATTGAAGTATCCATGAAGAATCTTGAAAATCAAATTGGGCAGTTATCTAAACAAGTGGCAGCTTAATTAATGAGAGGATTTAAAGGGAATACATTGGATAATATTAGAGGTGATGAAGTTGAGAGAGAAGTCGAAGATGAATGGGAAGTAGTCGATGAAGGAGGAATTTAAAAAGAACATGAAGAAGAAAAAGGAATGCCATTGTTGAGTGCTAAATTGTTGTTATTTTGAGTGTAAATAATTAGCACTCAACGACTTTATTCGTTTGTTTTCTGTTAATTATTCCCCTTTTGTGTAATTTTTACATATCGCTTCATATATTGCGTTTTCGCGTACATATCAGTGAGTTTGATAGTTTTTCATCTACTTTTATAGGTAATAATGCATGGTTGAAGTATGGACCTATTTGAGCCAATAGAGATGCTTCAAAATGCAGTTTTAACCAACAAAATATTGTCATTCGCGCTTAGCGCGACTTTTAGCGCGCTGGGGGAACTGGATGGCAGAGGCAATATTTTTGTGAAACTAATCGCGTTTAGAGGGAGTAGGCCGCGCTTAGCGCAGTTTATGTCGGTTTAAGGATACTTTAAGTGAGATCGCGCTAAGATCGCGCTTAGCGTGATCTGAGGGCGCTTAACACAGTTGTAATTTTCAGCTTGTATAAATACATTTCATTTAAATTTTCAGGGTATGGTTTTGGGGATTTTTTGCTCCCAACTCCATCACCGACATTCTTTGTGGAAATAAGCTCATAAACAACAAATAGAGGTTGCTTCTTGACGATCCGGAGTTGAACCTGCTTTAATCGGCATTGACAAACCGAAAGATGTTTGTTCTTCTTCCTTCTTCTTTATGTATGTTCTATTTGTTAGGGTATTGTATGTATGTTTACTTTGATTGTATGTGTATTTATGGATCTCTGTATAAAATATCATTTACAACTCTTAATCGATGTCATATTTGATTTACTATCTATCTTAATGGGTTTGGATCGCTATAGACATATATGCTTCAAACTCGACCTAAGATGAATATTTGTTAGATTTAAGTCTAATACTCACGTGGGTATCAGATATTAATGCTATGTGTTGTTGAGTTGCGTGAGACATCACCGACGAGAGAATACGGTTGTTCTCTCAACTTTGCGTTAGACATAACCTCTGTTGTGCGCGATACATGGGGATTTTAACGAGTGACTTAGGTTGCGTACAACTGATTGATAGATTTTTTAGTACTTAATGGGTAAAATGAAATACAATGTCTGATGAATTATTTCTAGTACTTTAATTACATGTTCATATTTTTTTCTTTTGGCATTTTACTCTCACATCATTCAAACCAAGCTTAGAGACGTAGAGATTGTCAAACGACATTTTTTCCCTCACACCGATCTCTGTGGAGACCATATAAATCGTAGAGGGAATTCTTCCAAATATTTTGCTTCCTGTCGCTATATTGTAGTTTGAACAAAATGGTGTTGTTGTCGGGAATTGGCTTTGATATTGAATTGAATTGTGATAGTTTCTATATTTATAAGATTTGTACATAATTGTATATATGTGTGTTTTACTTTTTTTGTCATCCTTGTATATATGTGTTATCCATCATGTTTGTTTATGTGTTTGTGCATATTTTTGTTTTTCGTTTATGTTTGCTCAAGTGTTGCAAGTTTATTTGGTATCTAGCGGTGAACGAGGCAACATGGAGGAGCTTGTACATAAATAAGCGTCGAGCTTATTATGTGAAACAAGCAAGCGTTGGTTGGGAGGAAACCTAACGATTTTTGAGTTTGTATAACTTTATATTTAGTAGTATAATTAGTATAGAGTAAGAATGGATAGATTGCATGAGAGAAAGAACTAATCTTGAAAAATGAAGTTTGCCTGCTCGCGCTTAGCACGTGCAGAGGGCGCTTAGCTTGCATTGTTTTGCAAAGAAAAATATCTTGTTTTCCTATCCACTTTCACCCATTTTGTTGTTTTATGTTTAGTCAGTTTTATTTGATTTTGTTAGGTTTTTAGAAAATTTGTGTGTTTGTTGTCAAGTTTTGTTTTTTATTAGCTTGATGAGACATGTTGTGAATGTTCAAGTTTAAATGTTCAACAAGAAAATGTTTTGGTAGTGTGAAAAGTTTAAAGAGAGTTGCATTGCTAAGATTTGTGTTTATTGATTTTCTAGAACATAACATGCTTATGAACATTAGGCTTTGTACAAATTACATGACAGTTATTCTTTTGCAATTTTCGTTCAATTTTGAATGACTTTAGTTCATAGCCCAATGTGAGGAACCTTTCCATTGTTTACTAAATTGCATGGAGACCAACTTTCTTGTTTAACTCGTTTGAATTATATTTATATTATATTTTTGTTGT